AAGCAGCTCCTATTACTACGAGAAAGAAGAGAGGGATATACCAGCCATTACCACTGGTACTAGGACATATAATTATGAAACAACGGGCACCTCTCCTGGTAAATATTTATTTTATTTCTACTTCTATTACTGTGTTAGTTTGTTGCAGATTTATTGAGTTACTAGCTCTCGCCCGTGACTCCGTCCGCTAAAGATTTAAAACAAAGTGAAAAGCCTTTGTGTTCTTCCAGACTATGTTCTACATCTGTGCCAAATGTCAGTGAGATACATGCAACCGTTCTGGAGATATTTTAAAAAAATCCATCCGAACTTTCGCATAATATTAGTAAGATTAGAGAAATAAAGAACCCACTTGACCATGTCTAGTATAGTCTAGATTTTTTTTGATAGGCTATATTTTATTCCAGACTAACTGAAATATTCCTATTTGGTTCATTATCGTCTTCCAAATTTCGTCCAGATCGGTTCAGCTACTGTTTACTTGATTACTAATATTAAAATATCTTTTTTGTTCAAGGTTACTCCAAAGTAAATACTAAAGTGACAAAGGAGATGTCTCAGAATGTCGAGGAGTTGGATTCTCTTCTGGATGACTTACAGAAGGATCAAGAACGTCAATTATATAAGAGTGAGTACATTTTGATTACAAAAAATACTAGCTGTCGCCCGCAACTCCTTACACGAAGAATTAAAAAAAAACTTAATTTATAGCCTACGTGTTCTTCTAGACTATGTTATACATCTATGACAAATTTCACTCTTAGCCCTTCTGTAGATACCTCCTAACAAACATTCATCCATCCAAACATTCGCATTTATAATATTAGTAAAATAACTTTGTAATTTTTAAATCTACCCACTACACAGATGGTTTCTGAGATAAAAATATCTGTAAAAACATATAGTCACCCTTTTCATTTGACAAAACAGAGATAACAATATGTTTTAAATGGGAATTTTGGTCTCAAAAACCCATGGTTAGTTTTCATGTTGGACAGAAGAGTTATTTTGTTCTTGATGTACCAAATAACATCTTGGATCTTATAACTTTCCTCGTTAGACTCATCATCAGCTCACTATACGTCCCAACTGAAGGCATTGGATGCGTTACGCATACCGGGTGCCTCGGGGAAAGCCACTCCAGTTATGTGGGACTTTCTCCACATCCCTAATGGGACAAGGAGCCTACCCACTAAACCCCCTCTGGTTCCCTCGACTCACTGTTAACCAGGGTGTGGGCACATGTGAATACTCTTCGCACACAAAGAGATTGGAGCCTAGCCTAAGTTTGGGGTGACTAGACCATAGTCAACCAGTCGTTGGATTCTGTTATAAACTATTATTTCGTTTAATAATAATAAATTTCATAGCAACATGCATTGAATCGTTAACCCGATAACAATAAACTTTATTTGAATTTCTTACAAAAGCAATTTGCTTACAAAATAAAACACTGTAGTATAAGTTAACAAGCAAGCAAGATATGACGATATACTGTCAGAAAGAATTTGACGGTAGTATTAAAAATATATTTAGGACTGCGATTGAGAAGTTTATAGATTTACGTACCCAAAAAAAAAATGCCAATTTGCTAATTATTTCGTAAATATACGGTGTTTTTGTTCCTTTACAATTTTGTATGAGTAAGATTTTTTTTAATTTCAGGTGGTTATACATCGGATACCGCTGAGAGTAGCTCATTTGACTACAGGCGTGGGTAAGTGAAGATTTTTGACTAAAATTTACAAACTCGATCAATGCAAGGATTTCTTTTACTAACTGTTGATTTCTGAGACCAGAATCTCCTTTTTAAATATATCATCGTCTGCATTTGAGTGCCGCGTAGGGACTTGTGACCTCATGAAGGTTTTTTTAAATATCTACGGAACATAGCTTCTAATTGAACCCTTAACTAGATATATTTTTAAGATTAGATATGACGCATCTATTTCCAGCAAAAAGGTTTTAGTGATTTTTCTCTTTATACTTTTTCTATTTCTACTTTAGCGATTAAAGTCTCACTTCTATAAGAATCCAAGAATAAATGCTTATAATTGTTTATCTAACTACCGTCAGTACTCCAGTGAAGGCACCGCCCTCTAGCGGGTACTCCACGTTGAAACACGAGGAGCGCGTGGAGAGCTCCTCGTGGGGCTCCAGTCCTGCCCCCGCGCCAACACTCACACGCGCTGCTGAGCTGCGCCAACAGATGTACAGGGAGGAGAAAACTGGTATGTTCTGATGGGCAACTAAAATAGGAATCTACAATAAGAATCGCCTTTTTTCCCTCCACATCTTAACCCGATTAAAGACCTGGATCTCTTCTCTTTCAATAAATGTGTTACTGATTATAATCTTAATTCTTATTAATATTATAAATGCGAATGTTTAGATGGATGGATGTTTTTTTAAGGCATCTGTAAAACATCACAACGGGTGTTGATGAAATTTGGTATATATGTAGAAGGTAGCCTGGAAGAACACATAGGTCATGTCGCGGGTGATTAATATATTTTACTTTTAAAACTACCGTCAAAGTAAGCCCGAATACAGTTAGAATTGAATGAATAACTCGAACTTATTGTAAAAAAGCCAGATGTAAATTTATTTTCAGCATTTCGTCTAATTTTATCTAATACATTGTTCCTTTTGCAGAGTCCCGCGTGGTGCCGGCCGTAGTGCCCGCGCCAGTCGCCCTGCCCGTGCCGCCCGCAGTGTGCACGCACTGCCATCAATCCCCCGGCTCCACCGGCACTGTGAGTACACGTACACCCCATACAATTCCACATCAGGCAAAATATCTAAGACAAACAACATAACTCACGTCCACAACCCAGAAGGGTAGGCAGACCACAGACCTACATTTCACGCAATCCTGACAACGCTCTCGCTTCTTCTGCATTAACATCTACACATAACGACATAAATACATAACAACTACACTACAAAGACTATTTAAAAATCTTACTCAAAAACAACTTTAATATGTAATTGTAAAATTCTACTATAGGAATATTTGTATTAAAATATATTGTTGTCTCTATTTTGTCGCTTCACATGAGGGGGATAGCACTACTTTTAAATACAAGCTATACGACAATGAAATCTCAACCTTAATTCCGTGTTGAACAGTTGCCACGCGGCGGTACACCAATGAACAAGGTGACTACAACAGTGAAGACCTACACTTACGAGGTCCCTGCAGACACGGACCCCGCCAGTGTACCCATACCAACACACGCCGACACACACACTTATGTGTGTAATGACACACATCGCACGTAAGTACTGTACTAACTTCCGACTCGAAGGACCAAAAGTATTAATTTACTTAACTTATTTCCAGAAGGCTAATGGTAAAAATCCGGCTCGAAGGATCAGAACATCTGACTCGAAGGACCAATCCGAAGGATGTGCGATTATAATTTAAAAATGGCGTCTCTTATTATTTTGTCAGTGTTCAATAGTCAAATATTAAATTGATTTTCATATATCTTGTATCAGGGCAACACTGAGTCGTCCAGTAGATGGTTCTCCAGCGCCGGGCGGCTGCCAGTACTGCTCGCACTGCAACTCTCGCCTGCACTACAGTCGCACACATCTCTCCACTGACGGTCAGTTTGTAAACTGACAGCATTGCAACAACTACAATTATTACTGGCTTGAGTTATAAATGAATTCATGTTTGTAATTTATTCCAGAACATACAACTACCAACGAGCGCATGGTGTACCCCAGCCCCGCCAACGAGCCCCACGTGACCCACGTGACCCACGCCCCGCACGGACCCACAGAGCCGCACAATGGACACGGCCCTTATGTAAGTTTACTCCTACATATCTTTTAGAAATAAGTACAAAAAAAGCTTTTACTTATCTATTTATATTTAGCGTTTTATTAGAGTGTATTCAATATTTAGTTTGAAAATTGAGAAATGGCGTCTTAAAAATATAATGATGAATACTTTATTTCTATCTACAGGGTCCAACAACATACAAATACTCTGAGACGAGCTACTCCTCTCACAACTCCACCCTCAGCCCGCCCCCGCACGCCCCGCACACCCCCCACAGGCACCCC